GCTCATCCAGACCCTCCTCTTCCTCACAGTCATGATGATGTGGGAGGTCTTGAGGTACAAAGAAACAAAAGAACAATAACCAATAATGTAATGATACAAAAACACATAAAGACACATGTTTAATATCAAAACCTGAATAAAAGGTGATCATTTACACATGTGCATTGCTATAGGCTGTGTCCCATCATGTTTTAAACAAGCTATAGTTCAGCCTCTTCTTAAAAACACAATCTGGACCCAACTGTTCTGACCGATTACAGGCGAATTTAGAAGCTTCCCTTTCTTTCAAAAGTTCTGGAGAAAGTAGTCCATTTACAGCTGCAGGCCCACCTTGATCTTAATGTGATCTCTGGAAAGTTTCAAACAGGTTTTAAATAACTGCACAATAACTGCTTTTAAGGGTTTTAAATACATTCTTTTAACTCTGGACTCGGGCAGCCCTGCTGCCCTCTTGTTGTTGGACCTGACAGAAGCTTTTAACACAGTTGAGCATGATATCCTGTTATCACAGCTGGAATCATATGCTGGCTAAAAGGGTCTGCTCTTCAGTGGTTTTGGCCCTACTTATCTGGAAGCACTTTTTATGTCAACATGGACCCTTACAGCTCCAAAATAGCCCCTCTTAATTATAATGTACCTCATAGTGATGGGTCGTTCGCGAACGAAATGGCTCTTAGAGCCGGCTCTTTGAAGTGAACGACGCGAGCCGGCTCCTTATCGCGAGCCGTCACGCGTTTTTTTTTTCCCCTCTTTTCTTTCTCTCAACCTCTCTCTCGCACTTTTTTCCGCTTCACTCTGCACGCGAGTCTTGTGCTTGCGTTGGGTAGAGGGGGGAGGGGCGGTAGTTACACTGAGTAGCACAGGAACAGATCCAGAGGGAGAGAGAGCCAGGGACAACAACGTCACATTAGAAAGGTATAGTAATCATCCACAACTATTTTCAGTTGCAGATGATAAAGGATTCATTAAGTTTATTCATGCAGGTCCATATGACAGAGAATATGCATGTTCTTTTAGTTTTCATATTATAATTTATATTTAATTGTGTTGTGGTTTGCAGTGTTTTGTGTTGTTTCACTTTAAATTTGTAAAAGGAAAAAGCGGAAAATTTAAATAGTTAAA